ATATGAAATGAGAGAAATGGTCATGACTTTACTCAGCATGGCATGAGGCCCTCTTTGGCTCATCTATTGGGGGTGTCGCTTCTTAATGTTCCCGTCGCTTGACAGGGTTTTGGCCTTCCATGTCCAGCGGCCATTAAATGCCTTATAAACGAGTATTGACGGTTGCTCATATGTGTCCCACCCCCTCACGCCCAACACGGCAATGTAGGCAGATGAGCAGTGACACAGGGTGGACAGCAAGCTTGGCCCTAACCCGACCTAGACCCCCATATCCTACCCCTTTTTGGGGATACCTCACTTAATGTCGTCCTATATACAAAATTAAGTACCCTACAAGAAGTCTACAGGCACCGCCACATCTTAAGTCACATCATGTAAACTAGTAGAGATGGGATGTGTAGCCCAGGAATTCCAGATGACCGACGCTCAGGAACAAAATCTAGGAATGGCGCTCACGCAAACCTATGCGAGACCCCTCCTGACAATGCAACATGATTTTGAGCAACCACTCTTCAAACTCCTTGAAAGAATTGCTAAGTGCCTTTTCATATCTACGAGGCCTCAGGCATTCTCTCGATGGTCCCCTATAATCTGCATAACAAGGAAATCGAGCTTGCCCCCCCCGCTACCAGCCTGGCTTGCGCTCGCTCATGTTGGGCGCTTGCCTGAGCATGCAGTGCTGGGGTCCTCAAAAGCCCAACGCATCCTCCAATTCTGACGCCTGCGTAATCCGAGCGTCTCTTCGGCTCAGTATCTCGTCATCAGTTGCTCATTTGTGGAGTCTGAGCTCGGCACGCTTGTTGACTGCCTCCTCGGGAAGCAAGGTGGCGTAAGATGGCCAGGCAAGACGAAATATAGCTGACCGGACGAAAACCTGCATGACCATAACTCTACCATAACTCTAGGTGGGTCATGCAGGATTTTGTCCATCAACAGTATGTCAACCCCTTGTCCTAGAACGTCAAAAGAGCTGGTCTGACTGATTTCGGGTCCAAGCTTAGTATGGCAAATTCGCCAACCACTAACAGAATGTTAAACAGATATTTCTGTTTATTCTTCTTCTGAAAATCGATCTCTTTATGTTGCGTGTCTATGATCTTCTTTAGTGCTACTGGATCGTATTCCTCATAACAAAGCTGTTCTTTTTCTGCGTCTACCTTCATCACATCAGTCACATATTTCGTGGCTGCCGCCCAAGCTCGTCTACATGATGTAGACTAGGTAAAAAATGTATATTCTCTCAAACGATCCCCTGTAGATTTTTTAAAATAAGTTCTGGGTCAATACTGCTTTACCACCAGTTGAAGACGCCACACACAACATTCTTGCAGGTAGATTTGGCATCATTTAGTATTAGCTGTTCTTATACTTACATTTGGGTATGTCTGTAGGTTCTACTTTCGGGATATCTTCACGCATTAATTTAATCTAGAAACTATTTTCTACAGCTTTATATATGACAGAACCCCATTGTTGCAAGAGCCCCTGACAAGTGTTCTAAAACATCACTACCTCATAAGTAGCATGTAGTTCATTTGTTTGGCATCCATACTTTTCACTGTTACTAAAGTATGTGAAATATTGTAAAAAGACATGATATGACATTATGTAGATAAGATAACTATGGATTCCAAGACTCAGTAGTACCCTCCTCATTGCGATCGGCAATGTGTTAGATGCAAAGAAAAGAAGAACCTAGTGCATGTTCAACGATATCTTCATGCTAAAGTGGGTAGGTATTTCATGCAACATAAATACACGGTGACTTGTTGTGAATGTCTGGGTTCAATGAAGAAATACAATCATAAATGGAAAAATGACTCAGACGACTAGTGTCCTTTATATGCACCATGGAAGGTTATCTTTTTACTGTGCACAAGGTGTCACAGTAAAAAGACTGTTGAGGAATTCGGATACAGTAAGGGTAATAGACTATTTGCGACCTGTATTCAATCCAGAAATGAAGAGGAAATAGTACAATCATAAATACAAAAAAGCCAGATGATAAACCGTCAGAAGTCGTTACTGCGTTTAACCATGCGCGGCAATTACTGTTCAATGATGGGATTCTTGAGAACTATTGTATGATATTTTGTAAGCAGGATGACAAGGTAATGTTTGAAATTGATATGAACAATGAGATAAAGGATCTCAATAGTAAGCAACCAGAACAAACCACTGAAAACAGCTCGTTCACTAAACTTTATCGGTAAAGCATTGATAAGCAAAATATAAACATACTGTATAAGAGGCATTACTCTATGAGTATATTATGATTACAACCTTTAACCCTAAACCTAGCAAAGTCTATGAGGGAACCTTTGCCCATTGTGGATGATAATACCACCTAAGGGAAAATGTATAGGGTAATTAGTTATTCCCATACTGGTTTTGGTAATGGGGAAGTAGTGTTGATGTAGTTGGTGAGATGTAGCGGGGAGTATAGGAATAATCTTCTAATGGGTTGACTGGTGGTAACTTTACCCAAGATGGGCAAGCGTTCTGCTAACCAATACACGGATAGTGGAAAAGAAAATGGAAGCTACAATTTTCCAATGGGGTGTATGTATTGGGGAGCATAATAGGGAATAACGGCGTAGATTTAAGGACTATATTCCTTTATATCCCTACTAACCACCAGCAGGTTATGGCATGCATGTACCCAAGCTGTAGTCCTTACCCCTAAACCTCCAGACCCTTAGCCATAAGCCTGCCAGAAAGAGCAACGAAAGAGATCATATTCCTCATCATCGTTTGCCAGAGACACTAGTAGCCAGAAACAAAACCCAAAACGCTAGACCCTAAACCCTAAATCCTGATGATAATAGTTGCCCCAGTGCTCGGCCCAAATAGGAGCTTCAAGCCAAGTTGCCTTGCAAATGGAATCTTCACTACCGAACTTAATCGGCCTAGTCCCCTCCCATTTTCTGTGTGTTGAATATTCCTTCCCTTCTGTCACAGCACTTTCTTATTCAAGCGATTATGACTAGGGGCTTCTAAATAGTCCTGCGGGCGACTTGCACGAAAGGCTGACAGTGTGACATGCGATGGGTACAGTCCCCCTTAAGTAGATAGAAGATGGCTTTGGGCATATTATAATAAGATCGTGATATGCCCCACATTCTATCTACTTAAGGGGGACTATATATTGCCGGGGAGTCGGGGGCTTGTCATGTCTTGGCTTGGGATTGCTGTAGCGGCCCAAATAATGACCAATAGCATTGAGGTGTATTTAAGGTGCCCTGTTCCACACTTGTAAAAACAATCTAGGACCATAATGTAGGTACTTATCCCCACCAACAGTTGCTTGACCCCATCAATTACATGTTCCATGTTCTTTTCCATTTGATTCTCTATGAATGATTTCCACGTCATGTTTTTTGTTCTTTTCCATTTGATTCTACATTATTAAGGTAGTATCTCTATACAACCTCTAGATAGCTCCATGTAATCCCCTCTATAAACCCTGGCCCTATGTAGTCCCTTTATGACCCCCAATATCATCCTAACCCTAGACCCTAAACCCTTGGGCCCCAAGCTTCCCGATGGCCCCCTGAGGCTGCAACGGTTTGCTGCCCCAAAAAGGAGATTTTCGCGCAGGCTGCGTGTCGCGTGCAGCATCGACCATTGAATTCCTTTTTGCTTACCGGGGGTGGGAATGTAGGAATAATCCCTAATCCCTAAATGGGGGATTATCAAAATTATGGTCCCTTTTTGGGTACCCTAAATATTAGGTGCCGTATTATTATAGGGACCCAAAAAGAGACCATAATTTCGACAACCACCCACATGTTCTCATATCTCTACTTACCCCTGTTAGCTTACAGGATGATAGGCAGAAAAGGACTTGTATCGGATTTCATTTTTGTGAGAGCGAGCGAGGATCCCGATACTGTAGAGGCCTGAACTGGGAATGCACATAGCGCCCCCTTGTATCCTGATGATGTCCTTTTAGTACTAGACTGCATCGCGACATCCAATTCGTTGACCTAAGATCCTTGCAAGATACAAGTTAGATAACCCCATCCCCCGACGATCTACTTCACCCGGCTTGAATTCTAAAACCGCTGAAATATGCACAAAATCCCACTTCCGTTTTCACGTCCAATTTGATGCTGCGTGATAAGAAGGGACTCCTGGGAGGTTCAGGGCAATTGTAACCCAATTTGAACTGGCACTTATAGCCCAAGGGTAACCACATTAATCAAGGGATTTGGGGGACTCATAATTGGGTTCTAAATACAATTATAGCTGGGTATGATGACCCTGAATCTCCAAGTAAGCCGCTGAGACTGCGGCCCAGTGATGCGAAGCCGCAAGCGCGGCTTGGCCGCCACAATCCTGCTTTTGAGGAATTGAACGTACTCGAAAGGTGCAAAATGGGAGTTTGCACAAGCAGGGGGCCGCAATATTAACCCCAAACACAAACCTTATTAAAGGAATCCCCGAAAAAGTACAGTACCCCATAATATGGGAAACCCCTCATATTGGGTGGAGGGCTTGGGGCTTCGGAACCCTAAGTTCTAATCTTTTACTTCAGAGCATGCTAATCCCGGCCCTTATGAAAACAAAACGTACGCTTCCATGAAATTCTGCCCTCGGATGGCATATAACAGAACAATAGCGGAGAGATGTTGAACCCTAGTATGACATAAGCGTCTACGAAGTCAGAAAAGTCATGAGGTACAGGTGTAGGGTGTAGCAGCCAGGCCAGTGGTTGTTGTTTTTCAACCAGTCAGAACATACCAGGGTTTGGGGATAGTGAATATTCAGGTGGAGCCAGTGCAGGTTCCTAACCATCCCAAACCTCCTTCCAACTGGCCAATGGATTCTGGACTGACGAGGCTATGCAAGCACGCAGTAGGCTTCCTAACGACATGTGAGGATGTTCAAGGATCAGCTAGCCCTTTTCTCCGGGGCACACGGGGTCAGAAATGAAGCCGCAAACGATTCATTGGCACTGTCGAGAAAGATTGCCCAAATAATCAGTCACGGCCCAAACTCGACAGTCCGCGCTTAACCCACATCATACAAGAACCTCAGGAGGACTGAACTTCAACAACTGTTTAGTTCCCTTTTCGAATCGGCACGTGACGCCACAGCCAGTCATAAGCAGCGCAGTACTTGAATGCCAGTACTCATGACGCACGCCTGCGGAAATATATGGAAAGCACCCCCGTGAATAAGAACCCCCCCCCCATACTTAGTAGTTTCCCGCAATAGGAAGACTCCAATATAGACCCCAAAATGCTATAATTATTACTACTATGAGAACCCCCAAAAGGGTTCCCCTAATTTGGGAAACCTTCAATTGGGGTTGTGGGGGATTACTCGGGGGAGATTATAGCATACTATACCACATTATAATGAGATATACTATAGTATAATATATTATACTCTAGCATACTATATTGCACTACTTTATACAATAATAAACTATATTAGATCGTTCCCCTAGGAGTACCTTACGCGGGCCTCGCTGAGTCCTGCGGCTGGCATGAGGTCGCTACGGGTTCGTCTGCGCGGCCAGAGCAATTGCATTACTACAGCGGCCTAATTAATAACCAATATCATCTTGAGGTCCATTTGAGGTCCAATAGACAATATTCATATAAGGCATATGGAACCATAATATTGGTAACGGTTTAGGACCCTACATTAGGGTTTAGGGCCTCATGTTGCACCTCCATTATTTCATAAGGCCCCCTGTAATGTGCTTTTTGGCCTGCTTGTTAAGACCAGGGCAATGATTGCAAGGCCCCCTAAAAATCTGTTTCGTTTCTGGGGCCTAAAAAAAGGAAAGTTGTCATTCCTCTTTAAGTTTACAAGGCATGCCTTAAAAAATCCTTTTCCAACTCAGCTTGTTGAGCTTTAGATCCAGAAGCCAGATTCCAAATCCTAAACCTGCAGCCCGACAGTTTTACATAAAAACCCTTTCTCAGAATCTTTAAAATTCTTAGCCGTAATCATTTGGGCAGAGGGGGTAGTCTAGCAGGCCTCTGGATCCTGTTTAATGCCCATTGTTGTAAGGTCCTCTTTAATCTGGCAGCCCTGCGCCCCTGTAAGCTTTGAGGTTTAAGGATGTTAAAAGGAATGCCCTTTAAAATTCTTTTCCAACTCAGCCTTCAGAGCGGGGCCAAGACCATCCCCTTCTAAATCAATCCCCAGAAACCTCCGATCCGCAGGAGGTTGTGAGGGACCGTGTTGAGGGTCCCTAATTTCTATTTTTCTGAGGTCCCTATTGTTGGGGGGTGGGGGGGACAACATTAAAGAGGGTCCAACATTAGGGTTTAGCGAGCAAGTGCAGGCACGGCAAAGCATGTCCTGCGTTATAGGGTTTAGGACTTAGGGTTTAGAGGACTTAGGTTTGAAGTTAAGAATGTATGGAATCTGAGGATCTTATGCATCCAGGCCATGAGGATGATGTGAAAACTGTGGGCCTGGCCGGGAAAAGGCAAAGATCCATAAGGTTTGGGAGGAGAACATGCTTCCAATTTGTGCCCCTTGAGATTCACCAAACTTTATCAATAAACCTTTGGGGGACCACAAAACACAATTCAACTCAACTTGATGTCTTGAACAGGGTTTGGCCAACAGCAGGCTTCCAAAAGGGAATATCCATGCAAACCCTAAACCACACTAAGATTCTGTCACCCTGCTTCTCGGCTTGGCTTGCGGCCTTCTGGGTCAGCACCTGTGACGTCGATGATTTTGCCAGAAAAGTGCGGCATTTGCCGCCCATTCCTGTGTGCACTTAGGGTTCAGGTAAACAGGAACCCCAGAAGCTGTTTGCAGCTGAAGCTCAAAGGCTGTACGCCGCCTTGTGCCGGGTGCTCGTGTTCGACGTCCATTTCTTGGCCTGCGCGGCCGCAGCTAAGGCTCAGAAACACTGGATCCATGCAGGTCAGAACCTTTGAGACCTAGCCGCACACTTAATCAATGCTCAGGGCCATGCAGTCTTGCTGCGCCACGCTCGGATCTGGAAGGCTCTGGGCGGCATCCTCACTTGCGCGGCCTCAGGCTAGGATTTACCAGTCGCACAGCAACAATGCCTGTAACCAGCCGGTGTGTTAGCCGGACGTGCTCTGGAACTAACCATGCTCCGGGACTTTCAACACTTAAAGAATCTGATTAATTATACCAAATTCTACCATATGATACATCATTCTATAATATGCTCAATACATTATACCATATTGTACTATACTCTAGGAACCCAGGCACAGCAAGAGCAAGGTCCAGGCTGGTGGAGTCAACGTCCATGCAGTCGTCGAGGTTGCTGCTTGACCTTCGGTTTGGCCAGGGATTCCTGCAGCAAGATGCGAATCCAAAACTATGCGGAAGTTGGGCAGTTGGGCAGAACTAAAAGCCTATACTTGCTGGTTCTAAGAAGGGAATATGAGAATCTCATCCCTATATCAAATAGTCCCATACTCCCCACTAAGAACAATACTAATTACGCATCTCAATTAATAGCTGCCGGTCCTTGCTTGTGCCGACTCGTTGCTTGCAACGTCCACTTTTTGAGCGGTGCCGCCTTGGTGAACAATGTGAGAGGCCAAGGCCTGAAATAAGGTTTAGGGTATATGGATCTACACCATCCAGCAGGCTAAAGATGATTGCAACGAGCTGCAGCTGACCTCTTTCTGAATGGGGTTTAGGGTCTGAATTGCTACAGCGGAAATCCCCGGTATACCTACACTCATGTCTCTGCGAGCTACTTGGCAGCCCCGTGTACGAGGCTTTGGTTTGAAGGTTAATCCCAAGCTCTGGGTACTACAGCTACCGAACATATCCGTTCCAAGCAATTCCTCCACTGCCTATACTAAGTGCGGCACTTGTTTTGTACATGAGATAACCCTTCGACAACCCCTGTATCAACCTCTACCGAAAATGCATAATCCCCTCCTCTTAGTAAAAGACCGTGATGACAGATATCCCACTAATATAATACATGAGCTAGAGTTTAAACTCCTAGTATCCCCCTTATCAAGCCCTATAGTAGTCCCTATACAACGCCCTTTAAGGAGCTTAGACTATACGTCACATATACTATGGTACGATAATGGCGGTGTTTAGCATTCAGGAAGTGGGGGAGTAGTATTAAAGGGGAGGGGATTAACTCAGGTTTTCTACAATAAGCCTTGGGCTGGCGAGCCGCACGAACTGCTACTTGGAGGTGCAGGGTAATCCCCTCACCTAAGATTCTCACCCCCACCCCCCTAATAGCCCTAACATTAAATACTCGCAATATGCGGTATAGTATGTAATAGATTGGGAGTGTTTAAAGTTAGGGGACGTGGGGGTTTTCATATTGGGATTATTCGGGGAGGGGATTAACTGAAACAAACGATAAATGCATGAAAAACGCAATCCAAGCCCCCGAAGCTCCCTAATATGGCTATAGCTGGGCTTGAAGGACCAGCCATAATTGGGTTATAGTTCTCCTTAGCCAATATGAGTGGTTGTCAAAATTATGGTCCAGTTTATTTTTTTGATCCCTTCTATAATACGGCTCCTAATATTTAGGGTATCCAAAAGGACCATAATTTTGACAACCACCCATATATACACTTCTACAAGCCCTACAGAACCCCAATATAAGTGCTTTGAAACAATGATTGAGCTGTCGTTGCTGGTAGGGCCTGGGCTGTTTTGCCTCGTGATGCGCAGGCCATGCTCTGCATCATCATTAGCACGACCTTATGCCATGCGGCAGTAGTGATAGCAATATTTATAGTAAGAAATATCTGGTGGAACTACTGAGGATACTAAAAACCTGAACTACTCTGGTACGCTAAGGTCATGCAGGGCTTTAGCATCAACGGTATTACGGTCAGTACCGTCTCAAAGACTGAAACACAAGGATTCGGGTGATTTTTGTGCAAATCACCAAGGTGAAGTGCGTGAGTTCATTTTAACTTGCCATGGAATATTCAAGGTTTCCGGAGATTGGAGAGTATACAAGGCTGGAATGGTTGCATTAAGGTTTGAACGGCTCTTGTCGAATTACGCGGGTTCAGGGTTTAGGGCCTGGACTATTGGGAATTATAGAGGTGTACAAGAAGACTCGACCGGATTCTGCAGGATTTCGAGGAGCATGAGGGATCATGTAGGGATCATAGCGGTTTAGGGTCAATTATAGGCACGTGTGGGACAAGCTTTGACGTCGTCAGGACGGCCCAAATTGACGGATAGGCGTGGGGTCTGGATCCTGCAGTTGATTTCAAGTTATGCACCTTCATCATGAATCATAACCACATTCTAGAGCACGAACAGCCCGCGTGTTGGCAGCGTAAGCTTGCTTTGTCAGTCATCTCGACATCAAGACCGGCGATGTTCCTGTTCATGGCAGCTGTTGATGCTGCGGCTGGCAAGCTAGCAGTTGTGCTGCATGGTCTTTGAGGGTGTCTTCTTGTCCCTTACATGACAGCTACACGCTGATTGCAGGGGGGGAGAGAGGCATTGCAGGTGCCCTGTCCCTGCCGCCAATGACTTTGCAATTTACAGACTTCGGAGCAGTACGTAGTGGCTCTGATGGATGTTGATGAGAGGGCGGGAATGGGTTGTGGAATACATCAAAGCGAGTATTCGGGTTTGTTGGTCAACGGCGGTGCTCATTGGCCCGCGAATGTTTCTTGCAATCCTTCGCCTTGTCAAATTCTATCGCCAGCTTGAGAACTGTTTCGTATATAGCGAGTGGTAGGTACCACATCATCTTGCAGGCCTTTGCTAGGCTGCCTCAACTCAGAAAGCTGGCCCACGTCAGCAGCTTTTGATATCAAAACAGTACTGATGGACCCAGGGTGCGACAGGGCAGCAAGTCTCACTTGTTTGGCTTTGGCAGCCAGTCCGGCGTGCCAGGTTTGTACATGCAGTGGATGCAGGTCTTGAAGGCCAAATTGATTTCTTGGAGTTTTCTCAGCACGTCTGCATTCACGTCTTGCAGGTTGATGCGCCCGAAGGTGTAGAAGCCCACATCGTAAGTGCCTGGGCCTGGGCCCAGGCACTGCACTAGCACAAGGCACGGAGAGAAGGAACTACAATAACAATGGCCGCGCCTGCACCGTAAAAATTGAGGCAGGCGCGGGATTCAAGACGTCAGCCATTTTCTTGAGAGGGCTAGCATTTGTGGGTTTCTGCACATTTTGGAACGCGTTCGGGGGTGCCTAAGGAACCTCGGGAAGATCCTGTCTGGGGTGGCCTTCTGCTGCTATTCCCCTATAAAGGTTACTATATTTAGGCCCGGAGAATTTAAGACGTCAACCCATCCTTACACGGTTTGCCATGTCAACGGCTGGGAAGCTGTGTTACAGAAGTTGGTTCCTGTCTTGCCGCTTTCAGACCTTCTGACTACCCCCCTATATGCCACACAAAACACCATCTTGTCTTGGGCGTACCTGGAGACTGGAACCCATGGGCTTGATTGCGCTTGCCCATGACATTACACAGATGGTGGACGGAGCCCATGTCAGCCCTGCGAAGGAGGTTCCCATGCCTTCTAATTTCCACAAGCCATTGAAAACCGCCAAAACCGCAAAAAGACCGCCCTGAACCCACCAAAAGTTTGCGTCTTTATAAATATGTTGACGTCTGAATACCCGCGCCAGGCAAAATTGATAGTCACACGAAACGAAGCGTGCGCAAACTCAGATGAAAACGAGGCCCAGGCCGTTCGATTCAATGTGCGTTGGGTCAGAGAAGCTCCGACTTTTCCACACGTTCCTGTAGCATGGCAGGGCTCGCGCTGCGTGGGTCCATGAAAACTCTGCAAGCGCAATCAATAAAAGCCATGGGAGTTCTTGTCGAGCCTCATTAGATAAAATGCGGCCCCACAACGTGCTGTGAAACCTGGTGCTGATATGAACCCGTGGCCCCTCGGGCCCTTGGCGGGATTGCACTCCACTCCGGTCCTGCAGCTTGGACGCTGCATCTCTGGCGAGAACTGCTCAATTTGGTCATCCACGGCTTGCGCTGGGCTACCTTAGTGTATTGGCGTGGAAATTGGGAAGCCATACCTCACTGCGAAATCTCTGACGTGTCCATGGCCACCGTCAAACGAACTGACATCCACCTGTTTTCACGTGTCATGCCTGCATAAACCTTTCCAGCTACAAGCGCTACAGTCCGTCTGCAGCACCTATACAGCCCATCTACTGGGCCCCGGCTGCTGCTTGATGCCGGCTGCTTTCTTAGCCCTGGCCCTGCGGTCTGAATAGACATCCAGGGTTGTTTCGTTGTTAACTAGGGCACCTTCGAACAAGTTTTGAGATTAGGTTTTCAAGGGTTAAAGTGAAATTCGCAACAAGCAGCGCGTGTCCAACGTCTCAAAGTTCAGGTTGCCTGCTGCATACGCCCAAGTGTTCATATCCTCGAATCTAGCCGGATGACCATCGTACTAGTACGTGCGTCGTGGAAGAAACCGCTGGTCTCAATATAGAAAGACAGGCCGATGGCGGACCATTCTGAGGTCAAGAACTGAAAGGCAAGAACCTTTTCAACTTCAAGCCAAATGTTAGGTGGACCCCCACCCAGTACAGTGACCATAAGGGATAATGAGGATTATATTAAGGTCCTCTCATGTTCGTATTATACCACTATTGCAGGGTGGGGGTCCTCGTAAGTAATCCCCTTGATCTTCCCAAATCCCAATCCCTTGAACACTGGAACCTTTCGACCCAAAGCTACAAAAAAATCAGAGGCCTCAAAAGGTGGGGTTAAGGAAGGTGGGATATATAGGAAAAAGGCCCCAATGTGGTGGAGTATATACCAGGGCCCTTTAACCCACCTACCTTCATACCACCTTTTGAGCCCCCTCACAAGAATTCTTGAAGAGGCCTGTTGCCGCTGACTTTGGCGGCGCGTCGACCCTGGCCCTGAGTACGCTGAAGGTTGGGTCCAGGTACCCTAATTTTAGGGATAAAATAAAGTATACTTGGTCATCAAAAAACGTACTTTTGACAGTCTACCATGTTTGCACTTCATCATCCAGCCTTTTTCTCCCAGATTTCTGGCAAAGTAGGATTCACGGATGATCGGTTCAGAACGTACAAAAACAGATTGTTGTTTTGGTGTATATCATGCTACAGAACTATGAAACATATAGTTGTTTCCATAATCAAGGACCCCAACATAAGCCCTGAAAAAAGGGGCTCCTAATTGTGGGAAGCCCCCACATGAGGGTTATGGGGGATAATCTTGCTAGTTCTGCCGGTTGTCTACCTTATGCAGAAAGCTGTAGCTCACACGCGGGGCTGGGGCCCAAATTAGGGTTTCTTCTAGAGATATTACTACAACAATGGCAAACAAAATGGAAAAGAACACGGAAAGTGAGATGGAAAGTAGGACCCAGGATCAGTGGAGAGTGTCATAATTAGGGGCTTCTGAATGATTCATGGAGATTATGGAGCGTCAAACACACAGGGTTAGAGTAGAGTAACGACCTACAGGCATGCACTTCGCTCGACCCGTCAAGGACGTGCACACAATCGTTTGCAAACGAGTGTAGGGTCTGCCCTCATAATATAGGGCTGCCCACTCTAACTGCCCTTCATGACTCGGCACCTAGTATTTGGATACCAGAATTGGGTCTGTGTGACCCTAGCTTTGCCAATGAAATTGCAAGGAGCCTGCAGCTTTCATCCGATGGTTTAATCAGTTGCTGTACCTTCACGCTGGAGACAGCTCGGGACTGATCAAAGCTCCTTGTCTGAACCGCTACGGCGATGCTGAAAGCTCCTTCATTGCGTAGTTTTCCATGATTGAATCTGCTTTGCAGAGATGAGAGATGGCTAACGCTGTCATTAGAACATTAGAATTATATCCCCTGCGCCGCCCTCCACTTTTCCCGTGCGAAGAGAATGAGTCCGTGGCGGCTGCTTCTTGGCTGGACGGGCGAGGGCTGGGCTTCGCACAGTGCCTGAAGCTGTGCCGAGACCCTAAGCCATGTGGACGTCGATCAAAGTTACACATCACGTGCCATTTTGAAGTTCCTATGGCGGAAGTTACGTTGTTTTGCTTGTGAAATAGGACCCCGCTCATGTTCTAAAATCCTGCTGGTACCAACAAGGCTTTGCCAAAAAAAAGGCCGCCGCTGATGAGCAACCCCTCCCCGACCCCAGGACAACAATCAAAGTTGCAGCTTGCTTCAGCTAATGCCCACCTGAAGTGCGTGGGTATCGGTACTGCGGTGCTGTTGGGGAGCCTGCTCCATGCTTCGGCACCAGTAGTCATTATCGTGCAATTTATGTAAGCAGTCTGGGCCTCAGCTCAAGGACCACCAGCCATAATAGAGGGGCCAAATTGTGGCAAGGAGATGGAAGAACCCTACTTTCAGTCACTTACCGGATGCTGGCTGCAGGATTACGCCTGCATGACATCAGCGACTGAAAGTTAGGCCATGCGCATGACTTGCAACTTGCTCAGGGGATTCCTTCATCACCCTGCACTCCGCAACAGGCAATTATTTCAGCAGCTAAAATCCTGGAAAAAGGAGCAACCCGACAGTCCATTTACTACGTGCAAAGAAAAGAACAAGTAGGACATCTCCAGCTAGACTGAAGCTCCAAGCCATATTCCGTTCCAAACGCGCCACTGAAAGCATCACACTTAGCCTGATTTGTTCTGAAGAAACTCGTCCAATGGAACCCCAGAGCAATCCGTCATAATCCCTAAGTATAGTCCCCGTCCCTGTAACCCATGCTGTTGTTCACTGACGGGGTCTTGTCCTGAGCCGCTGGCCTGCAATTTTAGGAGGGGTGACTGGGCTCCAGCTGCGCTGCTGCCTGCGGGCGGTTCTGCTGAATCAGCACAAGAATACGTGGAAATTCAGTACATGGCGTGAAGGATTTCTCACACTCAGAGCGACTTCTAAGCAAAGTAGTCTTTGCACGCCCCGTTTGAGGTTCGCTACTGAGAAAAGAATCGAAAGGTTCGTCTGAGTGACAAGGACCGCATGCTGGGTATGTCTAGGGGCTGTGGGGAAGATGTACGGGTTGGATCTCGGCCGTAACTTCCACGAATGCAAGACCAATGGCGATCCATAATAATGAGAGCAACGCCGGGCAGATCTTCCGGAATATTGTATAACAGGAGCTCGAAAGCGGCCCCAAGAAAGACTTTCACAGGCCAGTAAGGCCGCATTAGATCTTGCTTGCCACAGTTTACCTCGGCTTAGCAGGAATTGAAAGGTGGAAAAGGACATGGACACCATTAGATTACTATATGGGGGCTGTGTGGGGATGATGTTGAGGATTGTATGGAGACTGCTGTCAGAATCCATTCCTTCCTGTGACCAGAGGTAAGCGCAGGGCATCCTACCCGGGGGTTCCTTCCTACGCAGGCCAAGGTGGCGGCCTATTTCCAACCTCTCAAACCCAAAGGGTCCATGTACCTAATAGTTGGGTACTTGGGTTTTGGGTAATATTAATTATAGTACAGGTTTGGGGCAAGTATATGATTATTAGGTACTTGGATCCTTAGGGAAAAGTTATGACTATACCAGAGCTACAGTGAGGCTGTACTATTTTCTTCTTTTACTTCATGGATGTCCATTGCTGCTACCTGAAACATACACCCCACTGAGGGATCCCACAGGGTGGGTAACTTGAGGGCTCTTTGTCTCTATGCTTCCTTAAGCCCATGAGGCTTCTGCGCTGACGAATGCCCAAAGCAGCCTTGGTCTATAGTCCCCCTTACGTAGATAGAATAGGCGATATATGGGGATCTTATTATAATATACCCAAAGCCATATTCTATGTACTTAAGGGGGAGTTTCCATTTTCTTTTCCATTATCCCAATATAACCCCTATATATACCCTATATAACCCACCTTGAAGCCTCCCTCAAATGCCACCCTGCAAACGTGCAAACTGCCTGTCGGGATCTGAGTCCATGCTGGGCAGGTGCTTATGCTTCTTCAACGCCTCCTCCAACACCTCGGACGCCAATGAAAAAACGAATACCCCTTGCACAATTTCAAGGATGGGGGTTTAGGAGATGACCCCTGACCAAGTTCTGGGTTGATGGTTTGGAGTTTTAAGCAGTTCTGGACTAGGACTAAGACTAAGAGAAAATCTCTGAAGTGATGCGAGGCTTTCCAGTGACAATTGTCCTTGAGGCTCTCTGCAAAGAGATGTGCAACATGTGCGCGTTCAAGCATCAAGTGCCATCATAAAAAAGAAATGGTTGAACGCACCTGCAACTGGAATGTCGATGGTTTTTTAGCATATCAAACCAGCAGCCCATGTCCAACAAGCAAGCTTTTATAGCCTTCTCCACTCTTAAAGCTTTCAATGCTCCCCAAGCATGCGGCCGTCAGCCGCCGAATAAGCATTAGCCGTTTTGAAGCACCCCTTCCCACGCAACCCGGATGGGCAGCCTTTGTTGTGCAAATTAGCATGCGGAACGGTCACCATTGTCTCAGCGGGTTCTTCTTTCCTGTACCCCCGCGACCTGAGTTCGAACGGTTCACGTCCCTCACAAAATCAAAACATTTGAAAGAAGCAGTTTTCCAAAATCAGGCCGAAGAAAGTCGCGTTTTGAGGAGCCTGCATTTTGGAACCCCACAACAATCGAAGCCTGATGCTCCAGTCTGCGCCACAACAAACTCTACAATAATCGAAGGCGAGCTGTATCCGGTCAAGTCTCCTTCGCATCCGGCCCGACTCCAAATACCATGATCAGGCATGTCCCCTTCGTTACAAATCATCATAAACCAGCTTGCTACACCACATCCAGACCTCATGACAAAGAGCTATGGCAGTCTGTACATGTTCCTCGGGTTAACAGGAGAGCTGGTTCGCATGGTATGTGAGGCTTGACCGGTGACATGGAGCATGCTGCCTCGTCGGCAACATATCCCGTAAAGGTGCATCGAAACATTGGATACTGTCGCGCGCTCCTCTGGAGTCTGAAGCAGGAAAAGCTCTCTAAAAGGGCGCGCAGGAAAGCCTGCGCCAGAACTGAAGAAGAACGCGCTGGAAAGTTCCTAGCTGAATAGCACTTCTGTCAGCTCTGGTCCTGGCGCTTTGCAAGTCAAATCCTTGCTTTCCACTACCACCTTGTCGTAGTAGTCCTGGGCTGTCCAGCTCAAATTACAAAACGGGAGCTACGGGGTCTAATATGGTCGCTTTTTCGTAAGACTAAGGTAACTGGACACTGGACGTGTTGATATATTACGTGCAGAGATGCAATAACCGGCCACCGACAATCTGTTTCAACATATTCCAAGTGTCAGACTCTAGCATGGCCTGCATCTGCGCCAGCGGGGTGGCTGCCTCTGAGAGCTTGTTCTCCATGAAGCTCTTCAGCATCCCCTGGCTGAAGCCGCCAAGCATCACCTGAAGCACCCGTGTGTCGAGCGCGGGGCGTCTACAGAGGAGGAATGATCACTTAGAAGCTGCACGGTTCATGTCGTGCTCTTCCCTTATCCTGGCTCAAGAAGATCTTCTCACCCTCGCCCCCTCACTGTGGTCGCATGCAAGCCATCGTTGTCTGAAAAGAGCTTAGATGTTGGGTCCTGCCTCCATCCATTAACAGTCTATAATAGAGGTCGTATTAAGGGCTCTATATAGCATAAATATCTTAGATATCTTATAGCCAACTGTTAATGAGTGGGGGCAGTACCCAACATAGATGTGCTTAGGTAATTGCTCCGAAGATCCGAGGCACAGTCTAAGGCAGTTAAGCAGAAGCAACTATGCAACACTTCTACTTTGCTCCAAATCACCACGCCAGGCTGGTCTGAGAGGACTGGCATCCTCCCGCGGGCATGAGAGTCTCGCAAATTCCAGTAGACAATTCGTGGCACGTAGCTGCCATATCCACACGACCTGACAGTCAGTCGTTGGAAGAAGGATGTCCGTAGCACCACCAGCAGCAGTACTAGTAGAGCCAGCAGCTAGCAGTGCCAGCAGCGGGGTTTGCTATTTCCTGTGGTTGCCATGCAAAAAGTTCTCATGGTTTTGGGAAACGGTACAGGCAGCAGTGACAGATGGGGTTTCCACACTCACAACAAGAATCGCACGGCAAACATGATCATCCTTGTCGGCATATCCCCACCACCATCATCATCAGACACAATGACCAACCATCTAGGTACGTAGATATCCTCTGCTCCGTGCTGGCCGTGGGCAAAATTAGGCGGAAGGTTTTATTCCTCGATTCCACGTCCATGCTTCTTATGGGGACTATGATGCACAAGACTCAAAAACAGATTGGAAATTAGCTTCAGCTGAGCTTGCAACCTGAACTTCTTCAAGATCAGTTGGTGGGTTGTGCTCCACTCTGGGCAGTCATGTGGGCGAACTGCATCAAACTGCATGTCTGAGAAGACGAAGAGGGTCTCCGGCAACTGGTCCTTGATTTGTGCGAAACTTCCGGGCCAAATGTTGAAGCTGTGCATTCTTCGTCTTGGGGTAAACTCAAGGCGCAGCTTACCTACATGCTTCTTGGACTGCCAGGCTTCTCCCGGCACGCCGTTCGAAACGGCGATGTTAAGCATCTCTGTGAAAACTTTCCTGAGTGCGATTTGTCGGCAGTCTTGACTAACATGAATGCAAAGTGGCATGTGCCAAAAGACTCGGGCTGTATCTCATAAGGACACTTGTGACATCTAGACCACAAGTAGGGCACGTATCCCAAAAATTCCTGTTGGCTTGCTATTGGGATCCAACAGCGCATCTAACTTTGAAAGACATGTTTCAACGTATAACTCATTCATTGCAGAGTGCATGGATGCTGGGCAGGTTCACGACCACACCAAAACCCCAACACCAGAAAGTTAGCGTTGACAAGCTCAACTTTACAAACAGCGACTGGTGGCCTGGGAGAATCATTGGCTGGCCAAACTCAATCAAATATCTGTGATCCGAGCACAGCACTCATAAGAACCATTAACCTGCACAAGCACTCACATTTCAAACTACGAACTTTTTATGCCGGTTTGCATGCACCAGGAAGAACACTCGCACACCTCATTAGATGGCCGCCTTGATAAACATCCCGCTGTATGTTGTTCTTTTCGTTGCTGAACCAATCACTATCATGGTCTCCAGATACGAGGCTACAAGCAATAACAAAAGATCATCTCACCGCATACTGTCAAGCTACAGAAGTTCAAGCCTTAACCCAGGTGAGGACTGTAGTAGCCCAATCTAAAAAATCCTTTTCTACAAACACTAAGTATGTCCCCCAATACATAAGGTTTCTGATGATTATGGGAAAATTTCTATACCTTAAACACTACACCCACTGTTTAGTGTTAGGAGCCGGGGAGGGTGTTTAATAAGAGTGCCAACAATATACTCAAATGAAGCCTGCTTGCAAGAAGTCTGTGTTCATGCCCCAGTCAAGGTCCATCGTTGACCTGCTTCCCAGCAGGTTACAGGTTTGCGTAAGGTTAACCTGAGTCCCCAAAGTATGTAGCATAGAATAACGTCTTGGGCAATAATTTCACTCATCTTCGGGTTCCGGGTAAGGCAAGGGAGTTTTACGGGTCTCTTCCATCATGCAAGATAGAAAAAGTTCAGGGCTATGGATTTAGGCCTGAAGCTCCATTAATAAATGTTCAAGGCCCGAACCCTCGAACCGACATGGAATCCTAAAACGCTGAATCCACGTTCTGTAGGAGCCTCAATATTTACCAATACCGCTTTGAGACCTGTTGTTGAGGTACTTCATATCATGCTGATGCATGGAATTTTGGAACCGTAATCTTGTAACTACTTAGGCCCCTTTAATACAGTTCCCGGCCCCACCGATGCAACAAAAGTGGCCCACAGCAAACAACATCGGATTGTAAGTGTATGTTATGCGTACTACTATTGTACAGTCACTGGATGGAAACACAACGCAATTGTCTACATCACTACTCGGGAACAAGGGATTTTGTAGAGCTGATCTTGAATCCTTCTCGGTGCCTGGGTTGAAAACTTTCTCTGGAAACCGCGGCCTCTCTCACAAAGATTGGACAGTTGGGATTAGGGCTTTCTGGCGATGCTTCAGACAAGTTGTCTGTCACTTACCATGGCCTGCCTAACAATTCCTGGACGGGAACTGATACCAGCCACCTAAAGGTGCTTTCAAGTATTCTACCTTGGAAATTCAGTGGACGGGGATATAACCGAACATCAACAGCTTCTAGCAAATCTATCTCAGTTGCTTGCAGGGCACCACAAAGGGGTTCTAGGGACTGACTGGGAGTGAAAGGGGCTTGCATCGGCCGCTAGCATAGTGTGAGGGACACTTGCAAAACCTCCCGACTTCTTCAAGGAAGGAATTGAAACGACTAAGAAAAAGCAGGCTACCCTATTATTCAGGGTTATATAGGGACTGCTATGAGGATCCACTCCTTCATTCCGCGCTAACCAAGCTAGACCCCAAACCCTTGGAGTTTTGATGAAAGCCAGCCCGACCTCACCCGGCTTCTCAAGGACTTGCCAGGGCCAGACGGGATGGTCACAAACTGAGGATCACGAGAGAAGGTACCTTGGGCAAGTCACTGCTGTAATTTGATAATATAGTATAGTATCATATATTAGTAATACAATATAGTACATTATGCACCAGGGTCCATGATGACCACATTTTGGGTAATTCTCCCTGACAGTAAGCGTCTGTAAAAAAGATTCTGAACGGGCGATGATAACTCCTGTTATCTATTGTGGTACACCTAAAATGAGTAGTGTTGCTTTGAGATCCCTTTGATGTCTACTTGCGCGCCATGTCGTCCGAGGTGCAGATTTTGTCCCTCCAGGGGGCGTCTGCCACCTCTGAATTTCCAGGACAGAATCTAGGATTTGGGGTTTGGGGGTTTAAGTTCGTAAGTAGCTATAGGTGGGGCATGAACTATCCCACATAGCCGACGTGGATTCTGACCCAGTACCAGTCGTATAGGGACATACATGTAAAACCCCCCTTTTTCCCACAAGCTCAA